GTGCCCCCAAACTCACAGCCCCCGGAAACAGGTGACCCTGTGCCCCCAAACTCACAGCCCCCGAGAACAGGTGAGCCCGTGCCCCCCAAACTCACAGCCCCCGAGAACAGGTGAGCCCGTGCCCCCCAAACTCACAGCCCCCGAGAACAGGTGAGCCCGTGCCCCCTAAACTCTCAGGCCCCGGAAACAGGTGACCCCGTGTCCCCCAAACTCACAGCTTCCGGAAACAGGTGACCCCATGCCCCCCAAACTCACAGCTTCCGGAAACAGGTGACCCTGTGCCCCACACTCAACAGTCCTGGGAACAGGTGACCCCGCGCCCCCAAACCGATAGCTTCGGGGATCCAGAGGAGCCGCGCCCCCAGATCCACGGCCCCTGGGATCGGGTGGACTTAGCGCCCCAAAACCAACGGCCCTTGGGAACGGTCAGATCGCGTGTCCCCAAATCCATGGCCCCCGGGAACAGAGGATCCAGCACCCGGTACTCACGGCTCCTGAAACTAGAGGCTCCGCACCCCACACTCACGCCCTGGCAATAGGGGCTCCGCACCGACGGCCCCTGGGAAAGGGCGAACCCCGCACTCGGCTCTCAGGTCCCCACACCAGCCCGCGGTCACTTGCGCGGCGCTGCCTGATGACCTGACGCATCGCGTAGGCGTGCGCGACTCCGGCGATCAGGAGACATGGGGCATGCGCAGTGGGAAGGCCGTCCGGGCACCGCCCCCGCTCAGCGCGCTGTAATTGGCTCCGCTTCACATCACGTCACCAGGCATGCGCGCCTCGGCCGTCCGCGCTGTGTTGCCATTCCTGAAGTTGACACTCCGGTGAAGCCTCGGCGGTCAGGTGTGTATTTGTGGGGGTGCCTTCGGCGGGCCTCTGGTAGCGTTGTTGATGTTGTTGTTAGGTGCCATCGAGTCGGTTCTGACCCACAGCGACCCTATGCACTGCCCGATCCTGGGCCGACCTCACTACTGTAACCACGCTGGAGTCCATCGATGCTGCCACTTGGTAGCGTGGCATAGTGGTTACGAGTCGGGCAGCGAACCGCAAGCTCAGCAGTTCGAAGCTCCCAGCTGTTCCGAGGGAGAAAGATGAGGCTTTCTGCTCCCGTAAAGATTGGCAGCCTCGGAAACGTCGTATAGGGTCGCTATGGGTCAGAACCGACTCCACAGCACACAACAACAACTTAAAACAACAACAATTTCCGCGGGGTGGAGTGCTGGGGGCCCCTCCGCGCACTAGTGGGGGTCTTTCCACCGACAATTGGGGGGATCTCCGTGGACAGGTGTGGGGTCCTTTCGCGTAATGTTGGAGTTCCCTCCGCGAGGAAGTGTGGGGGTTCGTCGGTGCCGGGTGGGGATCCCCGGTGGGGGAGTTGCTCCGCGGACAAATGGGGTTCCTTCCACCTGTAGGTGTGTGTGTGGGGGGGGGAGAGGGGGGTCTCACCGCGGACCCTTGTGGAGGATTCCTCCGCGAATAGGCGTGTGTGTGTGTGGGGTCTCTTCACGGACAGGTGTTGGGGGGGGTCCCTCCGTGGACAGGTGTGGGGGAATTCCGTCACTGGCATGGGTGGGGGATCCCTCCGTGGGCAGGTGTGGGGGATCTCTCTGTGGACAGGTGTGGGGGACATGGTGGTCCATCTGTGGAGAGGTGTAGAGGATTCCTCCGCGAATTGATGGTGTGGAGGGGGGTCTCTCCAGAACAGGTGTGGGGGTCATGGTGGTCCATCCATGGACAGGTGTGGGGTTCCTTTTTCGAGAGGGGGGGTTCTCTCCTTCAGGAGATGTGGGGGTCCCCACGCGGGCTGATGGGGCTCCTTCCCCGGAAGGTATGGTGGTTTCCTCTACAGGTGGGTGAGGTTCCCTATGCGGGTGGGGTTCCCCGCAGGTTAGTGGGAGACTGCTGGGTTTGAACCGCCCGCAGTGTGGTTAGCAGTCCAGTGCTTACCCTACCGCCCACACCAGGGCTTGAGTACTTACAGGTTGGGCCTTGGGTGTGGGAGCGAGTCAGGGGCTCTGGAATTCAGTGCCTTCTCTGGTCTGGTTTTGTGGGAGGGATAAAGCACTAGACCATTAGGTGGGTTTTAAACCACAAGGTCAGTAGTTCAAACTCAGCATCCGCTCCTTAGAAACAGGGTCAGTATGAGCCGGAACCAACTCGATGGCACTTAATGACAACAACAACAGGAGCGTCACACGATTACTCGTCATTTTTTATCTGAAGTGCCCTCAAGTCAGTTCTGACTCATAGTGGTTTCCAAGGAGCAGTGGGTGGGTTTGAACTGGTGAACTGGCAGTTAGTAGTCCAGTGCTTATCCCACGGCACCATACAAGGACTCATTTGGTTGTTGTTGTTAAGTATTGTCAAGTTGATTCTGACTCATAGCGACTCTGAATAGAGTTTCCAAGGAGTGGTCAGTGAGTTTGAACTGCTGACCTTGTGGTTCAGACTGATCTTGTGGTCCAGTGCTTTATCCCACAGCGCCACCCCAGTCCTCGTTGTTGTTGTTGTTAAGTGCTGTAGAGTTGGTTCCGACCTATAGCGACCCTGTAAGGGTTTCCGAGGAGCAGCTGGTGAACTTGAACTTCCAACCTTGCAGTTCAAGTGGCTTTGCAGTCTGGCTCATTAACCCACAGCGCCACACCAGGAAGCCTTTCTACCCTGTGTAGGGTTTTCGAGGAGCTCCTGGTGAGTTTGAACTGCCGCCGACCATGCCGTTGAAACCAACTCTGAGGTCGAGTGCTTATGCCTCAGTGCCACATCAGGAGTCCAGTCATTAGGGTGCTTTGAAAACAGTCCAGTCCGAACACACTGGCTTCTGAGGGGGCTCTGCTGGGCCAGTTCGGTTCCAGGTAGAGAGGTCAGCTCAGAAGGTTATGGTGACTTTTTATACAATTATTCCCAAGTGGTAATCTTCACAGATTTTCTCATAGGACACGGGATGGTCACGGGGGCTTATTATGTAGAAGTTCTCAGAAAATAGAAAACTTGTGGTGAGAAGGCCAGGAAAGTTCACCTGAGGAATGAGTTTTCCATCATGGCGACGTACCTGCTCATTCTTCAGGGTAACAAGGAATGTCCTCAAAGAATTTCATTGAGAAACCTCACCTCATCCACCCTACAGCACTGACCTTGCCCCTTCAGACTTTGTTTTGCCCCCCAAACTCAAAGACCACTGAAAAGGAACACGATTTGGGTCACTTGAGGATGCCCAAACTGCCATTTGATGTGGGATAAATCAAAAAGCACAGAATTCTGTTTGTGGATGAGTTAAGTGCCACCAAGTAGGTTCCGACTCCTAGTGGCCCTGTGTAGGGTTTTCGAAGCTGGAAATCTTTTCAGGAGCAGAGAGTGGGCATGGACCTCTGGCCTAGTGGTTCACAGTGCAGCGCTTTCCCTACAGACCTAGTGCTCCCCGTACAGACTCAGTGCTCCCCCTACAGACCCAGTGCTCCCCCTACAGAAGCAGCGCTCCCCCTACAGACACAATACTCCCCATACAGACCTAGTGCTCCTCCTACAGACCTTGTGCTCCCCCTACAGACCCAGTGCTCCCCTACAGACCCACTGCTTCCCCTACAGACTCAGTGCTCCCCGTACAGACCCACTGCTCCCCCTACAGACTCAGTGCTCCCCGTACAGACCCACTGCTCCCCCTACAGACTCAGTGCTCCCCCTACAGACCTAGTGCTCCCCCTACAGACCTAGTGCTCCCCCTACAGACCCAGTGCTTATCTGACAGGAAGGATGGGTGTTGGTAAGTGCCATCGTCAGGGTTAGACAGCAGGGTTATACTACTTTCAGAAGTATACAGACAGGAACACCAGCTTCACATTTTTATATTTTTGTTTGCTACAAGGAGTTTTCAGCAGTGAAGAAATCCAACGACATGCTGTGTTAGGTCGATCTGCTGGGCAAGACCTTTTGAAAGTGTTCAGGAGCAAAGATGACAGTTTGGGGATTAAGGCTCCCCTGACCCATGAAAAGTGTGGTGTTTTCAATGGCTAGATAGCTTGTAAAGTTGGACAGCGACGAAGGAAGACCACAGAGAAGTGATACATTTCACTTATGGTTTTGGAGCAGTATATTGAAAGTACCATGGACTACCATCGAACAAACAGCTGTGTGTGGGAAGTCCAGCTAGAGAGTTCTTCACAAGTCAGGGTGATGAGACTTTGTCTCCCATCCTTCAGACAGATTCTCAGGGAGGAGCAGTCCCTGGAGAAAGACATCAAACTGGTGAAGTGGACGAAGCCCACCACCAAGATGGATTGGCACAATGGCAGCAGCAATAGGCTGACGTGTCGCAGCGATCATGTGATTAGCGGCATTATGGCATGTTTTTGTACACAAGGTTGCTATGAGTCCGTACTGACTCCATGGTACCTAACAACAAGAGGAGTTCTGGTGTGGCGTTGTAGGATAGGCACTGGACTGCTGCTTGCAGGATCAGTGATTCGGATCCAGCAGCCCTATCTACGGGGTGGCCATGAGTCTGAATTGACTGGACACCACTCGATAACGCCAGGCATGATTTCATAGCAGTGTTTCTTGATCTCCCTATGTGTGTACAATATGAAATGGAATTAATAACAGAGGCGCTTCGAGTAGCGTTGGTACTATAGTTCCTTTAGCACTAGGACTAAATAGAGACAGACAAGAATCGGCCAATTGGAGTGGTGTTTTTGACATTATTCAAAAGGGAATCCTCGTCCGTTGTGTGTTTGTTTTTGTGCAGCTCCTACAACACTATGTGCCTGAGTGGGCTGAGGAGGTTCCTGTTGTTGTACGCCACCCAGCAAGGACAGGCCGAAGCCATAGCTCAAGAGATAAGTGAGCAGGCGGCCGCCCACGGCTTTTCTGCAGACCTTCACTGCCTGAGTGAGTCGGACAAGGTGCGCTCCCTCCCCTTCCAGGGGTCTCTGCGCCTTCTGTTTAGAACTTAGTGTGTGAAGGGGCCATGGACGAAGGCGATCAACCGCATGGGAAGGCTCTCGCTGCTACTGTGTGGAGGCTTCGAGTCAGCTCCGACAGTAGTGACCCAGGCACAGGAGACTGAAACACGCCTCAGCCCCTGCCATGCTCACTGTCATTGTTATATTTCAGCCCTGTTGTTGAAGATACTGTGTCAGTATATCTCACTGGGGGTCTTCCTCTTTTTCTCTAACCTTCCACCTTACCAAACATGGTATCCTTCTCCAGCGACTGCTCCCTTGTATGAGTATGTCCAAAGTATGAGAGATGAAGTCTGGCCATCTTGGCCTCCAAGCAACACTCTGGCTGCATTTCTTCTAACACAGATCTGTTGGTTCTTTTGGCAGCCCATGGCACTTTCAATATTCTCCTCCAACACCGTAACTCAAAAGCATCAATTCTTTTACAGTCTTCCTAATTCCCTGTCCAGCTTTCACATGCATATGAGGTTATTGAAAATACCATGGCTTGGGTCAGACGCACCTTAGTCCTCAAGCTGACGTCTTTGCTCTTCAACACTTTCAAAAGGTCTTGTAGAGCAGATTTGCTCAATGTAATACATCATTTGATTTCTTTCTTTCCTTTTTTTTAAGGTTTTTATTGTGCATTGAGTGAAAGTTTATAGGGCAAAGCATCAGTTTTACATTCAACAAATCATACCCCTTGTTTCATTACAATAATTATAATCCCTTCCATGTACCATCAGTTAACAGTATTTCTGTTAGTGTTTTTTAAAAAACAAAACAAACCACTCAGGCATATATAATAATTTACACCTCCAAAGGGCACATTCTGCAAGTCTGCCTCCAGGCCACCAGCTCATAGTCCCTCTCTTCCCATGAATCTAGAGTCCTCAGCTGCTCCCTCTCTCCATGCCCCCATCTCTGCCTCCATCTCTGGTGTCGCTGCTTCTCTGGATAAGGTCCCACATTCTGCTTGTGCTCATCTCCTTTGATGGGCCTAGGATCCTTTGTTTCTGGACTGTAAGATTAACTACTGCCGTTTTTGTTATAAAACTTCTACCTTTACAATTGTGACAGTCACAATTAGTCATGATAACAATTATTCACTATTGAATCATATGAATCTTATCCCCATCTCTTTTCCCAGACCCATCTAGACAAGATGAAAACTATTCAGTGGGGACTTTTTCTCCCCCTTCCCCCCACACTCTTAAACTAAACTTCCTCTTGAAACCTAGTAAGGCAGTCACTTTGTGCCTTTATCGCCCCCTCTTGTAGGTAGCCGATGTCTAAGTTGCCCATCCCTGTCTACTCTGTGTGGAGGGGGTGGGAATGATTCTTGCTGTAAGGATTTGTTCCCTCTTTTGAGCTACTGCATCCATAGGTGTAGGTCAAGTTCATCAAATGCTATCAGATTACTTTTTCTCCCTCTTCTTTCTTCTTCTGGTTGAGCCATTTGATTTCTTGACTGCTGCTCCCATGAGTGTTCGTCGTGGACCCAGGGTCTCTCGGAGTGCTGGGGGTTTCCTTAGTTCTCCGGAGCCCTGGGGGAGTGAGTGGTGGGTCTCCCGGCTCAGAGCCTGGGCCTGGCGCAGTTCGGAGGGCGACTTCACCTGGTGGTTTTTGTTGGCAAAGAGCCTAGAGGTGGGGAGCTCTCAGATGTACGGTGCCCTCAGTTAGAGGTGGGGAGCTCTCAGTTAGATGTACGGTGCCCTCAGTTAGATGTATGGTGCTCTTAGAGGTGGGGTGTTCTCAGAGGTGGGGTGCTCTCAGTTAGAAGTGGGCGTGCCCTCAGAGGTGAGGTGCCCTCAGTTAGAGGTGGGGTGCTCTCAGTTAAATGTGCGGTGCCCTCAGTTAGAGGTGGGGTGCTCTCAGTTATATGTACAGTGCTCTCAGAAGTGGGGGTGTCCTCAGAGGTGGGGTGCTCTCAGATAGCGGTGAGGTGTTCTCAGTACTCGGGGTCTTTGCCTGAAGATCCGATTGGTTGCTCTCTTCTGGTCTTTGCATTTTCATCCCGAATACCGGTGTCTTTGCCGTTTTGGTGTTCCCCCTTTTCACACTGTATTCCTTTTGTTGTTGCAAGTGTACCAGCACAGCCCTGTCTTCACTGCTAATATAGTGACTTTGCCTTCTCCGAGTCAGGCAGCCCTTCTCCTGGTTGGATTGTGAGTTGCCCTCCTCAGTACCTTGAACTCAAACTGTTTCCGTGTGGAGTTGTTGTCTGTCTGATCTCAAAGTGACAGGAGGACACTTCAGAAAGTTCACGGAGAATCCCATCATGTTTTAGTTCTGTCTGTTCCCAAACTATTTTTTTGAGATCCAATCCCAGCTTTATTAACAGAAAGCCAGCAGTCTGGAGGATGGGGAGAATAGTTTCTCAAGACCGTTCTGTGTGTTATGAAGAGCGGGCACATTCTGTGTTGTTGTCTGTGCCATGGAGTCGGTTCTGACTCATAGCGACCCTGGACAGGGTTTCCGAGGTTATAAATCTTTGTTGTTGTTGTATGTGCTGTGGAGTCGGTTCTGACTCATAGTTTCTGAGGCTGTAAATCTTTACGGGAGCAGAAAGCCTCATGTTTCTCCCGCACAACAGCTGGTAGTTTCGAACTGCTGACCTTGCAGTTCACAGCCCCATTCTTAACCAGTACACTACCAGAGCTCCTGTGCATATTCTATAGTGTTGGGAAAAAAAAAACAAACAATAAAGGAAAAACTTCTTCAAATATTCTACCTTTAGGGTCTAGCTGCTTAATTCCAGAGATAACTCTGCATGTGTTTGTTGCTGTTAAGTTCCGACCCATAGCGACCCTGTAGAGGGTTTCCACGGAGCAACTGGTAAGCTTGAACCACCAACCTTGCAGTTCAATTCGACTTTGCAGTCTGGCACATTAACCCACAGTGCCACACCAGGACTCCTTGGGTGGGTTTAAGTGCGTCCTATTCTCCTTGTCCTGTCCTCCTTCTAGGATCACAAGGTCACCCCAGCCAATGTATGTTGTTGTTGTTGTTAGGTGCCATTAAGTTGGCACCAACTCATAGCGACCTTATGCACAGCAGAATGAAACACTGCCCGATCCTCGGCCAACCTCACTACTCTTGCCACACTTGAGTCCATCGATGCTGCCACCTGGCCAATCCATCTTGTTGGGGGTCT